TCTCTCTGGGCAGGTCTTCCCGCTCAGCCAAATCTGTTAAATCTGTGTCTTCTACAGATGAAATTCAATCTGATAAAGCCTTGTCTAAGGCTTTGAGGAACAAATCTCCACCCATGGAGACAACACAATCTGGGTCATCTACCCAAGCTGGGTCATCTACCCAGAAATCAATTAAAGCTGAGTCATCTACTCAGCAAACCACCAAGCCATCTGATTATGCAATGGCAATACCAACCCTTCAAGCCCTCCAAGATACCGGGCTTACCCATCTTCCTTCTAAATCCTGGAAACAAATTTTTTCAGCAGAACCCGACAACTCTTTTGGGGACAAAACCTGAAATCCATTATTTCAGAAATTGCCAATTCCAAAATTACCCTACAATCAAAAGAATTGGTAGAGCAGCCTCAACCAATTCCCTCAAAACAACCTTCCTATCAGCAAAAAGAAGGAAGATTCCACCCAACAATCCAAATGGAACCTGAATTTTGGGATCCAAACCCAAATAAAATTTGTGAAAAAATCTTTCCACCAACATTTCTCTTTAAACCCCTTAGTCTTAATAAGACTAGGAAATTTTATGAATTTATTCTGGTGGATTCAAAATCCGTTTCAATCAAACACAATTTTGATAGAAGTGATACTCAACTTATCACTCATTCAACTCTCCAAATTTTAAAAATTTTAACTTTCAAAGATTTTGAGAACAATCCCAATCAGGTCAAAAAAATTTCCCAGCCCTTTGACCCTATTGGTTACAATTACTGGGATTATATCAATGCTTGGACAAATGTTTTTTGGTTCCAAAATAAGAATCACAAGCATTCCTGGTTAATCTATTTTAAAATGAAAGTCCGATACTTTTTCCCTCAGTGGTTCGCTGAATGGTGGGAGTATTTTGGACCAATTCAAAGTATTCTTCCTAATGATATCAAGGAAGGATACAACCAATTCAAATCAAGATTTGAAGAAGGAACTAATCCATTTCATCCCTCTCTTCATTTCTTTCCAAAATTTTCATTAGCTTGGATTTTTGCCTGGCAACACCAGTATAAAAAGAATTCCAAGCTTCTTCCAATCTTGGGCAAGCAAGCCTCCGTCAAATGGTGGGATCAGTTTGATGCATCCCGAGCAAACACCCAAGGAGTAGCTTTATGGTTTCAGAAGAATCCAAAAAGCCTCAAGACGGCTGACCCAGAAACCTGCCAGTTTCTCAATAGGAAGGCCAAAATTGCAGCAGCACTTGCAGCATCTACTAGTGATGAAGCCTTGGCTACAAATCTTCATCAAATCCTTGATCTCCTACAGACGGACTCAGAGTCAGGTTCGTCCAAAGGAAAAGCTAAGAAGGAAGTCTCCTCTCCTTCCTCATCTGGATCATATTTCCAAAATGAAGATGACTGTTTTGGAATTGATATTGAAGCAGCCGCTAATTCAGAAGAAGAATAACTGCTTCAGTAGCAGATTTCGAACCAACCAATCTTCAGCTTGTTTGATTATTAATCATGATAATTTTGTTTAATGGTGGACATATTCATATTTTATATTGTGAATATATTCATATTTTATATTGTGAATACCCTGCACCTCATATTATCATAACAATCTATAGGCATCACTTCAATCCAGCAATGTATGTAAACATCTACCCAGTTTGAAGAGATAAACAGTTCCAGTGAAGTTACCAGCACTGTGGCAATCTACTATTCATCCTGCGAAAGGATAATGTTCAACGCAACTGTTCACTATTCACTGTAGCGGAAGCGGAGCACTACTGTTCACTGTAGCGGGATTTCAATGTTACTGTTGTAACAGTAAAAAATTTTATTTTATAAATAGCATCTCTGCCCATGATGTTAGGCAGATTCGAGTTTAAGCATGAGAGTTAGAGTGAGAACCTCCTTCTCTCTAGCCTTTGTAATCTTTTATCAGTCAATCAATACAACTATTTTGTATTAAATCTACTCTTCTCTTCTCATCTCCTCCGCCCTCTTCGTCTGGCTTTGCCGCATTTGGGCTTCAACATTTATATGCTTTAAGTTTACTTTCTGTTCATCTACTTTCTGTTCATTTACTTTTTGCATATTTATTGTTCTTGTTCATGGTAGTCAGTCTACTGCCTACTTCTCTCCGCCTTTTCCCGTGATCCTCCCTGATCTTCCTTAGATTCCTTATATGTTTAATATATATATATATATACATTTTTCAAAGCTATTAATCTTATGTTAGTATTAGAGCAGTCCAATCTCTTGCAGCCATCGATGCTCTCCTCTATGAGTTGCTACTTTGCGCCGTTCAGGTGCGTGAGCTACACATGCTGCCTTCTGGTATACGACGTGACAAAGCATCCTCTCCAAGGGTCTCATCGACACTTTTACACACCCTGTTTCAAGTGTCACTTCATGTTTGAACACCTATTTGGCATCTAGACCTGTTTCCTCCTTTTTTAGCACTCCCGCAATAACTTCATAAAAACAATGAAAACAATTATTTGTATTGGTAGGGTTCTCTTGAACTTCCGTTCCTAACTAAGTTACTATGATTACCCGAAAAAAGAACAGTAACGAAGTATCTTTAGATAATATTGAACGATAGAAGTTGGTATTTCAGTTTCGTGCTTTGTTGTGACAAATAGCGATGGGAATAGGACAAGTCAAGTCAGGCTTTGAATATAAAGGTCAGATTTATTCTATAAAAAATTAAAACTTAAGTCTGACCTATTATTTATTATAGGCTTTTTTTATAGGTCTAGCCTGGTCTTTTTAAAGTCTGGTATAGCCTATTAATTTATTTAAAGCCTATTTAAATTATTAATGTCATAAACTTAATTTTTTAAAAATCAACAAAATTATTTTTAAAATATAGTTTACTCAATATTATTAAAATTTAAATTTTAAAAGAAATATAGGAGAAAAATTGAATATTTTTTGTTAAAAGAACAATTCATACCTAGTCATGTAAATTAATGTACACTCATGCACAGGCCGTAAGTTTATAAACCTATAATGAAAAAATAATCGGGCCTAACAGGCTTGTGTATAAATCTAAGTTTGAGCTTTTTATAAATAGGCTTCTTTTAAAAACCTAAACTTGACCTTTTTATTAAACAGGTTAGGACAGGTCAGACTTTAAAGAGGTCAGACCATAAATCCCTATTTAAGACCTAGCCTATTCTCATCGCTAGTGGCAATCAACGGATCTCAATATACTAGGGAACCTTAGAACATTCAAGACTTGGAACTCCTTTTGAAACTCCTATTTTTGCAAATGATGTTCAACTCCTTTAGGATTTTGCCCAAAAGTTAACTTCCCACAAACAAACAGATCATGATATGATCTCCTTTGCTGTTCAAGCCCAATTGACTGTTGAAGAAATGAAGATGTTCTTAGAAGCTGACTCATTGAAAGCAATTGAACAAGTTACATATGGGGATGATTCTTTGTGCTATGAAACCAGATTTTGTCATGTTTGTCATCAAATCTTGACCGGTAAAGAATTTCTGTCAATGGAGAGTTTAATAACACAACAACTTGTTCCTACCCTTTAGAGTAGAAATCTTCGTCTGAATCTTAAGCAATGGTATCCACTTGAGAAAGGGGAAATCTTAGCAATAGAGGAGGCCGTGATGGTAATGGTTAAAGTCCTCAAAGCTCTAATTATAAGACAATGGGCCATATTAGAAAAATTGATACTCATAATGGTTTTTCTGACAAGATGGAAAATGTCTTCAAACCTGAGAAAGCTAAACCAAAATTATGTGATAAAGAATATCAGAAATACTAGAGGTTAAAATCCAGCAGTCCAGCACATCCATCTTCAGCCCCTACTACTTTAACATTGTAGACTCCTCATGTTGAACATTGCAATTCTATAATCCGCTTTCCTATATACTAGGGGTGTAAGTGAGTTGGATTAGACCTTTAGGACCTAACCCAATTTAACATAATCGGGTTGGATTGGATTAGATTTGTATTTTATTTGTGTAGTGACGCAACCCAACCCAACATAACATAAATAAGAATAATAGGATGAATACATATTAGATTATTAACTTAAGTTTTAACTAATGTATTATCTCTCTCTCTCTCTCTCTATATATATTTATATATAGTTGTACGCAATCAGATTGAATACATATTAGATTATTAACTTAAGTCTTAACTAATATATCAAGCATATCTTCAATTTAATTTTGTGTTGTTTCATGTATCTATACCTATTATAAAGGCGATATTCAGTTTTTGAATCCAAGACCTTGAAGTTGAAAGACTACACACAATACCAGTTAATTCAACAAATATTAATAATTACTTCTAAATAAATATAGAGACACAAAGTGTCTTCATCCCACTACTATTCGATAATTAATGTGTTGTCTCATGTATATTTGATAACTAATATTTTTAGTTATTTTTAAAATTTAGGTCAGGTTAATTGGAGTACAAACCCTTTAACTTGTTATGCAACCCAATTATAATCGATAAAGTAAACAATCCAACCTATTAAAATGTAATTGAGTTGAGTGAGACCGGATGCATGAGTCGATCACGAATTGCTTACATCCCTACCATACACATCAAAAGGCTCGTATGACCTGAACAAAGGTACAAACCCCTTGGACCCTTGTTCAATAGGTAGATACTATCACTCAGATATATGAATAAAAAGTCTGTACGCTCTGAACAAAGGTACAACGAAGAAGAAAAATTTGACCTTGGACTCTTAGTCAATGGGTAAATACTATCACTTCAGATTGCTGAGTGATAATCTCAATCAAACATTATTTTCTCAAAGCTATTAATCATGAGTGATGTTAATATGATACAGTATTTATTACTTAGGTAGGCTACGACTTCTAGTCAATATTTAAAAATTCACATTACACCTTTTTCAATATAATTTGGTCTTATTTGTTGGATAATATAGTATAAATGTGCAACAAGATAAAGCTATGATTATAGTGTTGATGAGCTTGTAAAAATATAACACTAAAGCAAGAACCTGAAACTCGATAGGTGTAATAGTCTTCCCTTTGTCTGTCATGTCATCACTCTGTAAGAATAAAATAATTAAAAACAAATATATTCAATTGAGAGAAGAATAATATTTTATATGTTCTTCTGAGAAGGAAAGGATTTTAAGCACTTGAACATATTTATTTCAACAAGGTTATTGAATTTTCACTATCATTAACATCGAATGGTAAGATTTAAATCTGGCCCGCCAACAGCCTTAACGGCAGAGCTAGAGAGGCAACAGTGCTCTGTTTTTGTTGCAGCAGAAACAGAACTCCCATGGTTGGGATGCTCTGAGATACCAATTAGAAAAAAAGAAATTTTTATCAATAATATTTTTCACACCAATTACATTCTCCAATCATACTCTTATAGAGAAAACTACTATCTCCATTCTAAAATAAGGAAACTATGACTTGAATATAAAAAGAAAAAAAATAAAGAGATAATGATAAAAAGATTAAAGTAGATACTGATAACCCTAAGATATTTCTGTTATTTAAAACACTAACTAATGGGTAACTAATCAATTGTAATTCACTGCAACCACGGGTTACCTAACTGGAGGGAATGCTCTTACATGTACAGTTATGTAGCAGTCATCTAAATGTTGTCAGGTTCTGCAGGTCTTGTACAATGTTACTGATAGTCTCTACTAGACTCTTGTGGGATTATTTCTGGTACTCATTGAATTAATATATTTATTTAGCCTATTAAAAAAAGATTTCGATCAAATTATTGGAAGAATTCAAACCTGAATGTAGGGGAAATATATGTCCTTCAGGAAGCACTGGAGTCTGTTTATGTGAACATCTTTTATTTTTGGCTTGTAAATTTCAACCTGCAACAGTATCACATCACATGTTCATATTCAAATTAAGTAACGAGACAACCAACATCCTCATGTAAAGTAAAAGGACTTGTAAGTTTCAACCTGCAAGAATATCATATCACATGTTTTTGTTAATGTTCGAATATATATAAGTAAAGAGATAACCAACTTTCTCATGTAAATATGGCATAAAAAGTAAAATGGGGAGTGCCTTGATTAGATAAAAAGAATCAGGGGCTCAACCAAACCAAGTACTTAAATATATTGAGAAAATGTGACACTGGATCTATCAATAAAAATTAATGGCATATCACGAAAAATTGAATAGGGTGTTTGGAAATACGATTTCAAGGCAACAAAACACGTGAAAGATGCAAAACCTACATCTGATAGCTTTATTCTAGACATTAAAACCGCATTCTCAGAGTGTAAAGCTGATCATCTTAAAAATTACTGATTGTCTTTAAAAATTATCCAGCATCCAGCCTTAGATAAATTTTCACGATAGTTACAGGGAACCAAAATGTTGACAATCCCATGTTAAGACAGCAATAATAGTTTAATAGCTTAAATAAACAAATAAAAAGTCAGTAACAAAATCAAAATATGTCTGTCAACTGCGAAATGAAACATCAATGCAAATGGTGAGGGGCATGTAGCTTACCAATTATTATTATTATATGATTAAGTGGTTGAAGCCAAAAATAAAATCCACAAAGATAAAAATAAATAAGAGAATGAAAATAGGCAAAAGATGATAGATGGTAGGAACCTTTGTAAAACTTCCTTGAGAGTCCCTAATTTCATTGGCTGAGGGATCTCTGATGCCACCACCAGTCTCAATAAAAAAGATAATATATAAAAGTAACATCCAACTGTCAGTTGAGAGCATAAACAAATAACCAAAAAAGAAAGCATTAAACACATTGCCTTGTTCGGGAAACATGAATACCTTCCACGTGTCTTTAGAGTTAGATGTACTTAACAAAGCTTCTCTCTCAAGAAGTAACATGTAGACTTTCTTTACATGCTTTGTCTTGGAAGAAACTGAAGCACGCCTTATTATGTGAAAATAACAATAGTAAGAAATTTGGGGATACAGATTACACAGATATAATATGGGGAAATTACTTGTATATTAGTAAGAAATCATACCTCCCCAAATGCATAGATGCTATAGGTCCACCATATCCAAACATCCCAAAATAAGGCTGCACGATTACCCCCAACAAACAGACAATCAGATTAAAACACACGGTAGAAATCTACCCCGTCCCCTCTTTTGACTAACATTTACATTCATCTATGTGCATAAGCAGAAAAAACAGCAGTGTATTCAACAAAAGTTAATATGAAGGAAATACCTTTAGTTACTAACACATTTCATAAACCCATGCTCTTCAAGATTAAAAATTAAAATACTTGCAATATTTGGGAATGTTACCGTAAACATGTTCAACATAAAATATAAAAATAAATATAAAAATAAAATAAAAAGAAAGAAAGAGAGAAAAAATGAAAAGCACCATTAAGTAAGGTGGTTTTCCACCAATAGCCAGTGATTTTGAAGATCTGTGAAGTGAAGCACCCATTTTTCCCCTGTACAAAAGATGAAAAGTATATGATCAAGTGAAGACAGTAGAATATGTAGCCAATAAAAGTCCTGAGAAATTCCTTTTAAAATATGATTGAAAGTGAATGTAATTTAACCTGTCTATCCTGTCAGATGAAAGTACAAATAAAGACATATGAATTTATTAAAATCAAAAGGCTGGCATGTTTGAAAACTAGGTGTTAATTAGGGAACAACTAAAATGTGTGAACAGAATTGAAATTTTAGTTAGGGCTGTTTACTTCGAAAAAATATTTGTTTTCACTAATAGTTATAAAAATGCTACTTTGATCCCTTATTTATTGTTTTTATAGATTTGTACAAGAAAATAGTAAAACTAGCAAAAAGAAAATAGGAAACAAAGTAAAAGCAAGATGATATTTTTAAAATTATTAATTAAAATAGAAAATGTTTTCACGTACCAATTAATTCTTAGAATTTTGTTTTCAAAAACACAGATGTGTATTTGATTGTAATACCAAACACAATAACCATCAAACTCCGTGCAAAACATACTGATGAACCTTCAACCAGAAAATTTCTCTGCCTATTATTATCTACACTTAATATATTGGTATCAATTGACATTTTATTCCTAACATCTAGATTTCAATCCCTTTGGCCATTAACACCAAAAACGAAAACAGATTTTAAATTTGATCAACTAACAAAAACTTTTTTCGCTACATAAGCAAGAAAGTACATATCATTATATCCTTGGTCAGTAAAATCAACCTCTTGGCTCTTGGTTTTGCATTTTTCTGACAAACAAGTCTGGCTAATATTCATATCTAAATATTAAAAATTTCAAATGTCTTGACGTTTGATTCAAATACTAAGTTCATAAAATAAAATAGAATCAGATAGATACCACTTCACAAGGGAATTTTCATCAGTGTCATCCATCCCTGGGCCATTATCGAAAATTGAAATCTTATCTTTACTCAGATTTACTCTGCAAATCATAAAATACACTTTAGGGAACATTGTGCATAGGTGTAAGAAATCTTGTAAGCAAACACAAGACACAAAATCAACTATGTAATATTTTAATACAGAAAAATGTTACGTCAAAAATAATGGTGGCTATTGGGAAAAACCCAAGTCTCACATCGGGTAGAGATTAGGCAATTAAATAGTATATAAGTGGAAGGCACCCCTTCCCTTACAAGCCGGTTTTGTAGGGTTGAGTTAGGCTTAAATCCACTATTTTAAGATGGTATCAGAGCTATCCTAGATTCTTAAAAATGGGTCACCCACCATTGTTACATGCACCATGCACATGAGGGGGTGTATTCAAGTCCCGCCAATCCTAGATCATTAAAAAAATGTCACCTATCATTTATCCACATACCAAGCCCAATAGTGCTGGACATGAGGGGGTTGTATCGGAAAAGTCCAAGTCTCACATCGACTAGAGATTAGGCAATTAAATAGTATATAAGTGGAAAGCAACCCTCACCTTACAAGCCAGTTTTGTAGGATTGAGTTAGACTTAAATCCACTATTCTAAGAGTAGGGCTTAATCATTAAGTAATCAAATATCTTAAATTTCCATAATTCTTTGGGAATGTGGAATATACTGTTAACTATGAGTTATGGATTTCCCCCCAGGGCAAATACTTTGAAATTCTATCTGGCTCCATGGTTCGGAAACATATAGCAGGAGAAATAAAAAGGGACGGAATGAGAATTAGAGAGGGGAATTCATGTCTCAAGCCTTATCTAGTGAGAGAAGGGAGAGGAAAAGTTAGATTTTGCTTTTTTGTTAGTGAGAACAAGGGTGTGAACCTTTGTGGGATCATTGTTCTGGGTTTTGCAGAATTCATTGTGCACAGCATTCTTCTGATATTAATAATACATTTCAGTAATAAATAATAATAATCTGTCACAATATATAAAAGGAATACATATTTGTCATGTCTATTATTTATAAAACATTTATATCCTTCTATCATATCTTGATATTTTCTCACTGATAGATCTCTTTAGGATAAAATAGGAACAAAAATTGTTCATATAACAAAGTTAACTGCCCACTTCATTCAATATTAATTACCCACATTTTTTTTCGCCAGAGACACAAATTCTTACCACAGTAATAATAACAACAATGAATTCCAACCTTTCGTATTTTTTAATATCTTTCTCTATGGAAGGTTCAGTTACGGTACTTAAAAGAATGATTAGTCACAATCAATTGAAAGCAAATAACTATAACATAACCGAAAGAAATACTTTGAGATCAAATTACCCATGTTAAAAATAAATTTTAATTCACAGTCCTGAACCTCTTAATTATTTATACAAAATAACAGACTGCGGATTTTTTTTCTTTTGCTACGCTTAATAATAGTAGAAAGACAATATCACTATCTCATTGATGTCATACAATCGTACCGAATTATCTTCCTCTTATTTTCCCCGTTGGACCACACAGCTTGCAAGGAATTATCCTGGTGTATGAATAGCAGTATTAGTATCAAGATGTGAACTGAATAAAATCATTGTACAGTACTACAGTGTTCAGTTAATAAACTCACAATCAAGTCTGCAAGAGCTGTTTCGAAAGTATATTCTTCAGGAAGCTCCAGTAATAGATCAGTATCTGGCGTCAAATCCCACATATTCTGCATTTCAAACAGAAGCATTATAGTACCGTGGAACAAAAGATTACCAGCAGTAACCAAAAATCAACAAAAAATGTTAACCTCGAAAGACTTGGCAACATCGCTACTCCCATCCTGACTCAGAAAGAATACAAACAAGTTGAAGATTCAGCAAATAAGCACATGGATAATATTTTTTTTTATCATGTAAAATATTATAAGGACACAACAAGGATCAAATCTAACTACTCTCGCTTCTACCTAACTCCTTCCCCCATAAGCTCATGGTTAATATAAATATGATAAAATATATTTTTATTCGTAAATCCTAAACCATAAACTTTTGTGACTTTTTTTACGATGAATAATACTGAACTTCAATTTTCTCCTTTAACATTTTGCTTCTTATGTCAAAATTTTTGTGTATAAAAAAGAAAAAACTTTAGAGACTAAAATTTCTATATGAAATTGGTTCAGAGACTTAAAAATAAAAATCAACAAAATTTAGAAACTAAAACATATTTAATCCTAAAAGAAATTACATACACCTTACGTAACGAAACAGAACAGAACATAGGATGAGTAGGGTATACTGACATGAAGCCGTAGAATGTGGCACTTGTTTGGCTTAAAGCTTTTCAATTTAATAACGTTCCTGATTTTCGTATCATTGGCATCTTGAATAAAGAGAGAACCTTCCTTCCAGTTAACGTCTCTTAACTTGTTTGTTGACTCAAAGTGCCTACGCCTACGAGCTTCAAAGTACTTATCTTTAACCAAACCCACGAAATTCCACAAAGGCATTTCCGGTTCAGGGTCGGGTAATGCTAGTTCCACGCTCGTTCCGTTCGGTAATAGGATTTTGAACCTCAACACTTTTCCAAAATCACAATCATCATCGTCTTCGCTTTGCACCATTCTCCTCTTTCTAGGGTTTTCCCCTTCCATGATCTCGCAACCTGTCCACAGCGCAATGTCATTCGGAACGCGTAGAAAACAGAAAAGAGAAAATCGCAGTTAAAAAGAAATAAGCCACAATATGTGACTTGAGGTGTTGTTCTACAAGCAAAGTTGTTCGTATCAGTGGAAGCTGAAAGAATGAGCGAAGTTGAATTTGTTCCTTGCGGAACACGCAGGGCATGTGCATATGCATATGCATATATGAACGCAACACAAACATTTTCTCATTGAAATTGTCATGTTTTTACCTTACGAGCTCCTAATGACGTTGAAATGAACGCAGTGTAGGACGCGCTGGTTCTGCAGAAGCTCGGAGAAATGAAATAGGGAATGAAGTTGGGAAGACAAAAGGACGAGGAGTTGAGTGAATGAATAGTGGGAATAAGAAGGAAAAGTGAAGGGTCGGTCGCAGAGATTGTAATATGGTGTGCTCAGGCGTAGCGGGACGAGGACTGAGCCAATAGGAAATGGACACGTCATGTTTTATTGTCCGAAAATGTCTGAAAGCCTGATACCATGGGGATTGTTTAAGACGGTAAGAAGAGACTTTAAATCATCTCCTCGCGAGAGAATAAGTAAAAAATAAAAAGTGAAAATTGAGGTGTTTGATTTAAGGAGAGGAGAAGAGAAGAAAGGTTAAATTTTTTTGTTTACATATACTTTGAATTAACTAAATAATTTAAATGATGTTATAAATTAGTTTAAAAATTGTATGTATTAACATTTACGTGATATATATAAGTAAGAGGTTAAAATGGTAAAATAATAAACAATTCCTTCAAATCTTATACATGTAAGAGGTTAAAATGGGAAAATAACAAACAATCTCTTCAAATCTTATCAAATCACATGATACAAAAAAAATAGTGGTCCCACATGACTATTATCTTCTCTTTCTTGTCTTTTACTACGACCAAACAATACACAAAATTCAAAATGTTTCTAATACTTCACAATTCTAAGAAACTCTTTTCCTTCCCTTTTCACAAGAATTATCATTCCTAAATGAAGGGCTAGCATTGATGGGAGTTGGACTAGAATTTTTCTTGATCAATGGGCTTTTTGCAAGTATTCAAAGTAATAAATAAATATAAATAATAAATACTATTTCTGTTATGAATATATATATAATTAATCTAGGTCTAATAACAAATCTTAATTCATTTCATCCATTTTGATAATATCATTTTCAAAAAAAATTATTAATTGAGATTGTATTTTAACTATTCTTTCTAAATATCAAATTCTAATAAAATATTTTAGTGCGTAAGTGTTTTTGTATAGTTTATTCCAAACAAAGGTGGAAATTTAAACAAGTACATAGATATTAAAGTCATACAAGAAACAAATATTGATAAACAAAGCAAAAGGGGTACAAATTTAATTATTATTTTAATTATGCTAAGTTCATCATTAAATGAGTCTAGCCCTCTTTAAGCTTCCCTGGTGGAGTCGCCATCTGTCGAAACCCGAAAAATTCTGATCTTGCCCATAGATAGTCTGGACTTCGCTTTGAAACTCTCATCGGTTTAGGAACGCTCGAGGACTAGACTAATCATTCACTAATAATTTTTGAAAAAGTTCGAAGAAGTCGTTACTGATATTTTACTCAAAACATTTAAAAAAGAAAAGGGTTTTCATAATAAACTAACAATGGCCTTCATAGCTAGAATTTAGGTTCGAGGGTCGATTATGCGTGGGGAAGGTGTTAAGCACCTCATAGTGCCCTGATTCAATACCCTATGATGAATTTAGTAAAATAATAAACATAATTAAGTATTTACCCCTTTTTTTATTAGTCATTTAAACACTTATTATCTACATGGTTACTGATTCTTGCATGACAATAAGGTTATGAAAATAAAAACAAATAAATAAATAAGGAAAGAGAAGAAATTGATAAGAACCTCTGAAGCAAACTTTATAATAAATCTTCAAATAGTGGTGCAAAGGCATGTTTTGACAGCCTCTCGCTCTATAAAAAGCCTCATAGTCGCTCAAGAATATGTAAGGGAAGAGAAGGGAATGATTCTAATAGGAGTCTCTTAACTATGTGTGAAGTGTGGAAGACTAAGCCCTAGGGACACTTATATAGGCACCCAAGGAAGGGGAATGGTCATTCCCAGCACTAAAATGGTCGTTATGGGCCTTAAAATAACATTAAAAGGGTTTTTGGGAATAAGTCATTCCAAATTAGGGTTTGTAGTGTAAATTTTAAGTTGGGAACGGTCGTTCCGGATTTGGATAGGTTCGTTCCCAACTAGGGTTTTATATGTAAAATTTGAATTTCGAACAACCATTCTAAGACTTGGAACAACCGTTCTAGGTATTGGATAGTGGCTTTAAGTCTTTTGCGCCTCTTGGTGCTGTCTTGGTCCGTTTTCGTGCTTTATTGGACCCTCGAGGGCTGTTATTTAAGTCCTAGCGGCCTTTCGTCCTTAATGGAGTAACCCAGACGAAATCTGATGTCTACATAGGCTAACATGAACTCAAGACTACTAACCCTAATTACATTTCAAATTTCAAATTTTCCTCCCATTTATGTCACTATCTTAGATCTAGAATAGAAAATGAAAGGTTGCCATGTGGCAAGGCAAGGAAACTGTGACTCATGTCACCATTCTATATCTAGAAGAGCCAATCGGAGGTTGCCACTTGGCATGTGTATTTAGTGTGACTGGACAAGGCCATTTCGCATGTTGTAGACTTGAATTGGACATTCAGACACCTTGTCCACTAGGAATAGACATCCAACACCATGGATATCATGTCCATGTGCTTCCATGGGCCAATTTAAGCCCAACAAGCTAAAATAGCCTTTTATTGGTGCACCCTTCCTAAACTACTATTTACACCCCTAACATAAAAATACAAGGACATAAATTCCTACACTACTTGGCCCAAAATACAAGGTAAAAAATAAGGAAAATATTTACAAGGAAAAATGTACACAAAGAAAAGAAAGCAAGCAACTAAAAGGGGTCCTAAGCTTAACAAGAGCTTGGACATTCTTTCTTAAAGTCTAGCTTACTCCTCTTCATTCCTATAGGACTTGGCCCTTGCGACACCCTCTACCTCTCATACATATAAATTAATATTTAGAAAAATAATGGATATAAAAATACTCAAAATCCATGCATAATTAAGCAAATATAAAATCCAACATAAGGTAAAAAGAGTCGCATAACAATCTCTTAAATAAACTCCATATTTCTCACTCTAACTCATGACATGAAATAAGAGATTGATGGAGGACAATCCTTGAAGACCATAGGACCTTTAATAAGGTCTATGGCTAGGAGGCTAGAAGAGGCTACTAGAGGAGATGAGCTTCTTAGACCTGTGCTTATCATGAGCATAGAGTACGTGTTTCCTTCCTAGTTGTCGCAACCCAAAAATTTCAGATCTTGCGACCTATGGTTTAAACATCCTTTTGGATTTCATAAATTAAGGAATGCCCGGAGACCAAACTAATCCCTAATTAATGGTTTTGAAAATAGGTTCATAGGAGTCGCCACCAATATTTTACTCAAAATATTGGAAAAACAAAGGTTTTTGAAAATCCCATAATGGCCTTGATAACCAAAATTGGGTTCAGGGGTTGGTTACATGTAGGGAAGGTATTAAGCACTCCTACAACGCCCTTTCGGTACCCTATGATGGAGTTAGCATAACAATGAGTAATAATTTAGACATTTTTCCCTTTTATCAATGCATATTTACATATATAAGGATTTAAATTACACAAATTTTCCTAGGATATCTACATGGTTATTCCTTTTATTTGAAACAAGAGTCAATTAATGTGCAGAAGCAAGGAGAGAGAAGTGTTAATTGAAATACCTCTTGATCGAGCTTTATTAGATCTTCAAATATGCAGACTCTTTAGGTACTTTTTGGCTACCTTTCACACTACAACTACCTCACAAAATCTCAAGAAATACAATAAGAGAAAGAGAGAGAATTTTCAAGCTCTAAGGAGTCTTGGATGAAATTTTTTGGCCTTGAGAATAGTGCCTGAGTCTGCTATTTATAGACATTAGAATTGGCCAGAATGACCCGTTCCAAATCCGGAACGGCCTGTTCGGGACCCCTTCGTTATACGTAAATTTCATACCTGGAATGGCCTGTTCTTAAACCAGAATGGCCCCGTTCCAGGGTTGGGTTTAACACATAACTACCTGATGGAAATGGTAAGGAGGAGTGATGAATGTTCTTCTGCTAGCTATATAGCTAAACTTTTTTTTAAGGAAGTTGTCCGCTTTCATGCTAAGATCCTTAGTCACTTTTGGAAAGTACTATGGGAAAAACTAGTAACAAAGCTCCTCTATTCTACTACTTGTCATCCCCAAACCGATGGTCAAATTGAAGTAGTAAATAGGTTCCTATCCACCTTGTTAAGGGTACTCCTAAAAGGGAATAAGAAAACTTGGGATGATTGTCTCCCATACCTAGAATTTGCATACAATAGAGTAGTTCAAAAGACTACTAATCTTTCACCCTTTGAGTTTGTATATGGCTTTAACCCAATAACCCCTCTTGATCTACTTCCCCTTCCTAATACTCCTTCCTTGTTTCACAAAGGTGTATCTAGGCGAATTTTATTAAGAAATATCATGAGAAGATCAAGAGCCAAATTGAAAATCAAACACAAAAATATGTCAAATACATCAACAAAGGAAGAAAAAAAATCACCTTTGAGGTTGGGGATTGGGTTTGGCTTCATTTGAGGAAAGATAGATTTTCCACTCAAAGAATGTCAAAACTAAACCCTAAGGGAGATGGACCATTCCAAGTCCTTCACAAAATAAATGACAATGCATATAAATTAGATCTTCTTTTTGAGTATGGCATTAGTTCATCTTTTAATGTATGTGATCTCACACCATTTCTAAGAGTTGAGGATATGATGAAGATCTTAATCTGAGAATAGATGCTTCTCAAGAAAGAGGGGATGATGGAGGACCATCCTTGAAGAACCATATGGGCCCTAACACAAGGTCCGTGACTAGGAGAGTAAAAGAAGGGGAGGGAGTTCACCCACCAAAGAATAGCCTCCTCATGATCATAGAGTACTAAATACTCTCCTATGTCTCATTAGTATAGGGTTTATTTTACCCTTGTATTTTAGGGTGCTTAGGACTCATATTTTTCTTTGTATTTCATATTTTACCCTTGTATTTTGGGGCACTTAAAAATTAGGGCTTTATTTTCTAGGTAATGTGAGTGTTTGGGCATGACAAAAATGGATCTTTTGGGCTAAGAAGAGCATTGGCCCAAGTGAAAGGGCACCTGGGTTGCATTCTCCTATCATGCACCTAGAAGTAGCCAAGCTTAACCCAAAAAGATCCCATTTTTAGTGAAGGTGGGCGGCACCTAGGGTTAATTTGTATGTCATTTGATGTGCATTTCCTTCCCATTTATCCAATGATAACCTAGCCACCACCTTCCCTAAGGTTTGTGATGTCACCCCACACTTATAAATACCCTAGGCACCACTCCTTGTAAATACTTTGAATGTTGAATATAGAGAGAGCCTTTGTGCCTTTATATCATTCCTTAGTCACCCTTGGCTAATTCGACCACCACCCTACCATCTCCACCTTGAGAGAAACCACCCTAGAAATGACCTTCATCACTATAAAGTGAGTCAACCCTAGAGTGCACCTCTCAATCATTTCATCAAACATCTTACCCACAACTTTCATTTCTGCCCCTTCCTCCATTAAAGACGCCCTTGAAGGACTTGATCCAAGGAGTTTCAAAGCATCCCTTACTATTGTTCATCATCTCTTCTTCAATGAAGCAAGGGTGCCATCAAAATGTATTTGTTTCTATCATTGTCAACACGTGAATCTCTATGCATATAGAGAATAAGTTTTTTTTAACATGATAAGAAATAAGCTAAACAATTATGGTAAATCAATTACATGAGGTATCACAAATAAAGAACTAATAAGTTTAAAAAAATTTATTTATAATGAAAAACGAAAAAGCTATTAAGATTAAAATATTATAAACAGAAACATGTTCCATAATCTTATATTAACTATTTTATTCTAGGCATAGCCGGGCATGGGTAACTGAATTATCAAAAGCCAAAGGTATACAATATGCTTCTCTATGATAAAAGAAAAAATGTTGAAAACATGGATCAACTAAGCCTATCAGATGTATTTGATCCGTCCCCTGCCTCAGGTCTATATTCCAGTAGTTCTTCCATGGGCACCATTTTGTCCAAATACTTGTCATATCTCTCCTTTTTTTTCTTAAATTTTTTTATACACTTCTCACGATATTTGATCAGTTCTCTAATTTTTTCATCAATACTCCTTAGATCTGACTTCTTCTCTTCAATCTGTCTCAAGATTTCTTCAATTTCTCGAGGGAGTACTGTCTGGTTCTGGCAGGGAAAATATATAATAGGATTCCTATAAAAATGAAAGAGTTAGGAATTACTTCTACTCAAATTCAAAATCACAATTTATCTTACAAATAAAACATAATTAAAAGAAGTATGACATTTTAAGGATGTTCTCTTATGTCTATTTCAAGCCCAATCCTCCAAAAACATTAATGAAATATTCACTAGACGAGATTTTAAGCATTCAATTATTTAATATACTTTAATAAAAATACTATAATATTATAGAGTGGAATTGTGTTAATACCTTCAACGAACAAGTTAAATTTCAATGGAAAGGTTCTGCCAAATGGTAATTGGCGAAATAACTGAGAACCATTGATGGGTCATAAACATTATCTACGACTACTAAAAATAGTAACTAAAGATTAATCAGTACTTTTAGATGAGTAATACTATATATACAACAGAAATTATATAACTTATATTACATTATTTTTGTGGTTATTTCTTACCATCATTAATAATATTTCTTTCCATAATAAATAAAGTGACTGAAAGAGATAAATACAAAAAATAATAATTTACATGTACAATTTTGGCTGTACATGTAGTATTACTCCAAACTTTATTTTGAATATAATTTATAAAAAAAAGTTATAAAAAACTATAATTTGTGAGCACAGGAAATTGACTTGCTAGGCAGTAAATATATGTTCCGAAGAGCTCCACGCAAAAATGCTAGCAAAATTAAAGTAGATGGGATGCAGTAATAATATTCATGAAAGAGAGAGACCCATAACCGAGAGAGAGAATTCCATTTCCTCTAAAAATACCACCATCTAACGAAACAGCATCATCCTCTATACAGGCACGAGCAGCCACCATACTCTCTCTTTTGTCGTAAACCTGGAGCTTCTTGAAAAGATTAAACAGAACTGTCTCTCGTAGTCCGTGACCTGAAGCTGTCGTTGTATGCAAGTAATTTATGTCGAGGTCAATCATGTTAACAGCATAACCTATAAAGCCTTTTGGAGTTACCCCATTTGGCATTCTAGGATATGCCAATCCTAGCCTTCTCTGAGAATCATTCATATGCAACCGCCCAGTGTAAGGCCTATCAAACCAATTCACATGAATTATTTCTTTTTAAAAAAATTAAATAAAAAGCACCTAATCACAAGGGTCTTGGGTGTATGTTTGGATAAGTCTAGAAAGACTTTTACAAGCCTTTTTATTAGAAAACAATTAGAAAAACTCTCAAAAATCCTTATAAACTATATCCAAACAGACTCTTGGCCCTAGGACTCTTATGCAATGAATTACGGATTACCTTATATCTTCCATGCATATAACATGGAAACGCTTGCTAATAACTTTTCCAAGAGCAGAGGCTTGAGCATGTAAGGCACGCTCATAATCAATTTCTCCACTTTGGTTATACCTTTCAAGGGAACTTGCAGTATCAAAAGATCTATAAATAATAGCCAGCATTTTGTCTTCACCAAGATATTCCGCTAAGATTCTGCATATAACTTGATATAAACACAATCATAATTCATAAGTAAAACAGGTATAAGAAAATGTTATTCTTTATCAGCAATACTGAAATGACAGAGTTATTCGTTTTTTCTTTGGGATGCCATTAATCAACCTGCTAAGGTCAGGACTCTGAACGGTACCGACGAGGGCAACGACACCAATTAAATCTTCCAAGAAATACTTCGGTTGCATTTTATGTGTAGAAAGGCTACACAACACAGAAAATGCCGAGTTTTCCATGCTTCTAATTTTTGTCTTCAGTTCGTCTTTGGTAAATGAAGAGTCCATATTGCTTAATTGATAAGGTTGAACATTCTCTGCGCAATTTAAGTCATTGACAACATAAAACACCAGCAAGGTAAGTTCCATCATTTGATCAGTTATTTAATTTAATGTGCTTATTCTCTCATTTATAAATGCATACTTGCAGCAACAGATACAGCACAAAACAAAAAGGCATAAAAAACATGCACTCATGAGATAACTACAAGACAGAAAAAGGCATACAATGCTAATATTCATAAACACACACAACCAACAGATAACTTACAAGACGATAAACATCAAATTCAAAAAAATTATTCAATGAGTATTATCCCAAGCACTTTCTGTCGTATATTAACCTGATAATAGCTAAAACTAAAAATAATAATAACAAAGCAACTAAAAACATTTATTTCTTGCTACTAGGGATGATCCTAAATCAATCTAACCCAATGCAAACTGCAAAAAGTGGAAACTGGACAAATTGAAAACAAAATTTTAAGGGATAAGATTGTATTTAGGATCCAACTTTGAAAATGAACCTCTCCCTCATATCTATATAATTATATACTTGTAAAATTGTAATAAATCTAATTATTTTAATCTATTTATAAGTTTATTAGTTTGGGTTTACTTTGAAGTTTCTCCCGTGTATCATTTTCTATTTTATAAGTTTGTGTTATACCAAAAATTAATAATATAAAGAGGGGAGATAATATAATAAGATTTATTTAACGACTTCAAACTCAATTTTAAAAAACAGATAAAAAATCGGAATCATATAAAACATTTTTACTTAAATCACTTTTAGTTGAATTGGATAAGATTTAATACCGAATTCAAATCAATCCAAACCAAATGTATTTTTATGAATTAGATAAGCTGACATTTTGCCTAAATTTATTGAAACCGCACTTACTAACTACAAGGTTATTTAATCATGTAGAGCACATTTTCTAAAATGTTATAGCCTAAAATGTTGGGCGTATGTTTCTAAGATGGATAAAGAGAAAGAGTCACAACCTAGCATCTTCATTATCTCCTGCTCAGCTTCAGCCTTTAGCTCACTTGAATTATTAAGATGAATTTCTACTTTATTAATTTTCTCACCAAGTTTGCAGATGCAATCAAATAGCTCCTGCATTGAAGCACATCAAGACATTAATAGTGACAACAGGAATTTCCATTTCTGATGAATAAAGACAACCAGTTGACTTGCATTCATACTTTATAAACCGTTACGAGAAGGAAGCATTTTAATAACTCATGCAATCGCCTAATATTTTAGCGTTATAGAAAAATCTGTAAACAAAATTGTTGTTATTATGAATTTTTAAGCTACTGTTCATCAGGTAAGTTTTGTTTTTCGCCTAATAAACTTTTCTAGACAATTTCTGTTGTGAAAATAAAAAAAATACAAATATGAACAGTTCATCTTTTCTGATTAGGTAGTTCTGCTGACCATATGAACTGGAACAACCCATTCCAAACTAGGGTTTTAGACCTTTTTAGGAACTTGGAAAGGCCCATTCCAGTTTAGGAATAGTCCGTTTCGAGTTGGGAGGTGAGTACCGTCTCTCCAAACCTTTCCCTCACGACTTTGTTGTATACCGGATTAGGAGGTGAGTACCATATATCCAGACCTTTCCCTCACGACTTTGTCGTATACCGGATTGGGAGGCGAGTATTGTCTTTCCAAACCTTTGTATATTTAGAGGAATTTGTTGATGCCCTCATTGGTTTGCTTGACTTGTGGTAGGTTTTTTCTTAATATTATTTCCTTAGCTTCAGCTTTTTTATTCTTGAAGCTTGCCTTTTTTCCTCATGGTATTGCTTTTGCTTTTTATTGTCATCATTGGTGGAGGGATCCCATCCCATAATGATGTTATTTGTTGAATCTTTATTGGTAAGTATTATTTGAGAAGCCACTCTTGTCTTTGGTCAGGAAGCCATTCCTGGTCTTGGCATTGTCTTGGATCATCCTTCATTCGGTTGAGGAGATGGCCTCTTCATGCTTATAGGCTTGCTTGTTTAGGCGTTGAGCTTTTACGAGTACTTTGTCCTGACGACTCCCTCTAACCCATGGCAAGTATAATGCATGGATGCATGGATGCACATAAAAATGTAAGACATAAATGATTTTTATTATTTATTCCTTTTTTTTATGTAACGCCCTTCCATATACCCCTACCTTATATGCATGCGATGCAGTTTATGCTCATGTGTTTGTTCCTAAACATGCAATTCAAATTTTAATGTCAAGAAATTAACCTGTACGCATTAAGGTTAATGTTGATGATTCCTTTCTATCCATGCCATTTTTTATTATTGTCGGGATATGTTCCTTTGAACCCAAGGTTTCAATGGCTCCTCGACTATCTAGTCGATGTGTAGTCAAGTGTCTCCAAACTCCGTTTGGGGACATCTCGGCCTTCCCTCTACGAGTATTCACTGTGCATTTTTCGTATATCTTTTCGGTACTATTTTAATTCCATGAGAGTCAAGAGAAAAAAAAAAAGAAGGGATGTTTGTATTGTTTTTTCAACAGGATTGTTAGAAGGGATTTTTTTTAAAAGGGATTTTTAGAAGAATGGCTGGCCAAGGTGGGCTTTAGTGTTTAGGGTTTTTAAACAAAACGTATTTGCTAAAAGGAAGTTATTGTTGTGTTTTTATTTTACTTTTATTTTTATTTTTTATTTTTTGGAAAGTGGAGTGATGACAATGGGGTTATGCTTTGATTGAATGATCCCCCTTAAGCTGCCTTTCTATTTTTAGCTCAGGTCGCTGCTTTAACGTCCTAACTTTTGCCTAGGTCACTTGAGATGTGTTCCCTAGCAAACATTTTTCTTTTGATCCTTACTTTTGCCTAGGTTACCTTTTTTGATTGTGGGCTCCCTAGCGGATCTTGCCCCAATTTTTGTGCAGCCCCCTTTGTGGGTTTCTGCCGGGCTTTCATTTTTGCAGCGTTTGTGTGGGACGTCCTGTTTTTATTAAACCTAGTCATATTTGGGTTCCTGATTGTTCCTTTGTCATCTTTTCCATGCTATTATCGAGTAACATCTTTGTCACAAATAAATTTTGTTTTTAAAGGTTAATGGATGAGGCCTAGAGTGAATATTTAAAGGGAGAAGAGAAATGAAAAACTATAATGGCATTAAAATAATACTTTCAATTTATACGTGCCCCTTTAGCAAAGTTTGGAGGCCCGGGCATGCCCCGAGTTCGTGATTCATACACAGAGATTAACAGAGGTTGCCCCCTAGGGAGTCATGGTTGATCAGATCTTTTTAGAAACATCCTTCTACTTGTTTAGTGCTTTGGATTCGAAATAGAACCTTTATAGAGTCTTGATTCTCAAAGGGAATACTCGATGATGGAAGACCTCCTAGCATTGATGGAAGAAGGATGATTCACCCTTTGAGTTTGTATATGGCTTTAACCCAATAACCCCTCTTGATCTACTTCCCCTTCCTAATACTCCTTCCTTGTTTCACAAAGGTGTATCTAGGCGAATTTTATTAAGAAATATCATGAGAAGATCAAGAGCCAAATTGAAAATCAAACACAAAAATATGTCAAATACATCAACAAAGGAAGAAAAAAAATCACCTTTGAGGTTGGGGATTGGGTTTGGCTTCATTTGAGGAAAGATAGATTTTCCACTCAAAGAATGTCAAAACTAAACCCTAAGGGAGATGGACCATTCCAAGTCCTTCACAAAATAAATGACAATGCATATAAATTAGATCTTCTTTTTGAGTATGGCATTAGTTCATCTTTTAATGTATGTGATCTCACACCATTTCTAAGAGTTGAGGATATGATGAAGATCTTAATCTGAGAATAGATGCTTCTCAAGAAAGAGGGGATGATGGAGGACCATCCTTGAAGAACCATATGGGCCCTAACACAAGGTCCGTGACTAGGAGAGTAAAAGAAGGGGAGGGAGTTCACCCACCAAAGAATAGCCTCCTCATGATCATAGAGTACTAAATACTCTCCTATGTCTCATTAGTATAGGGTTTATTTTACCCTTGTATTTTAGGGTGCTTAGGACTCATATTTTTCTTTGTATTTCATATTTTACCCTTGTATTTTGGGGCACTTAAAAATTAGGGCTTTATTTTCTAGGTAATGTGAGTGTTTGGGCATGACAAAAATGGATCTTTTGGGCTAAGAAGAGCATTGGCCCAAGTGAAAGGGCACCTGGGTTGCATTCTCCTATCATGCACCTAGAAGTAGCCAAGCTTAACCCAAAGGCAAAAATGCACCTATACAAGTATCTACTATATACAAGGTACAAAAAGACAACTATACAAGTATATACAATGGAAACTTAAGGAACTAATAAGATGAACCATAATCAATGCTCATGATGAGCAAAGGTCTAAGAAGCACCTCCTCTTTAGAAGCCTCCTCTAGCTTCCTAACCATGGACCTAGTCAAAGGGGTGAATTGGATTCTATAACACTTTAAAAAATTTTCAGAGTTCTTAGGATCTTTATTTCAATTCAAACTTTTCTAATATGAATTTTCAAAGAAGTTCCTTAAAGACTTGTTAATGAAAATAAGTCCTATATGCTTTCTTGATTAATTCTTAATAAACTTCAAAGTTAAGAGCAATCAGTATGCAACACTTTGATTCAGTTTAAAGCAATGTTGTGCATACAAACATGTTAATCAAGAATAATCTCTTTAACACACAACCAAGATATCGCTCAAAGTAAAAGATAAGGGTAAAAGAAGATTGCACAAGTCTTTTATCTTGGTTCAGCCACTCCACATGTGACTTACATCCAGTCCTCAATCATAACCTGATCAAGATTTGTTCCACTATCTTAATAAAGAAGTTTTACAAGCATACCACACATGCATACAATCCTACATTCAAGATAACCACTTTCTTGACCCCAAGAAAGCACCCCTAGTAGAAACCCACTACAAGAATTCCTTACCACTTGAGACACCTACTCAAGTTTTACAATAAAGAATTAAAGGAACGAATTCACTTGGAAGCTGAACAAATCAGATAGTGAACTCAGAAGCAAATCTTAATCTTTCTCTTTTCAAGAATGTGAAGATGATGATGATCTTTTCTCAAAGCATTTCAAAAACATTTTACTTCTTGGTTTCACAAAGAAAACACTCCAAGAAGGTCACAAAGACTTCACAATAACGTTTTTCTCTTTTTGACTCTGTGTTCTATCTTGTTTTTTAAGTTTCAAAATGTGAAAGCTATTTATAACATTTTCAGAACCAGATAATCGATTATTTTAAAGGATAATCGATTATTTTGTTCTTCATGATATCTGAAAATCAACCAAGAACAGTTTAATCGATTATTTCACAAATAATCGATTATTACAGCAAGGCATCATTTTTACCTGTTGCTTGAATAATTGATTATATTTAATGATAATCGATTATTTTGAGTCAATTTTCAAAACTATTTTATGTCTCAAAATAACTTTTCAAGTTTCTAACTCATCATCATGCTCACTCTTAATCAGATTAGATAAATATTAACCTATGCACAAAGCACACACATGAAAAAATAAGCTCAACAAACAATACAACTTATGAGCTACTCCTATTACACATCATAATAGCCATATTTTCTTCTTGACTTTGTTTTTGACTTGTTAATGTCCTTGGTCAATCTTGATTCTTAGAATCAACACTTTGTTATCAGCAAAACCTTCATTCTCCAGATTTGAGTTGATTGACCACTCCTTGAATCTCAACATATTACTTGTCTAAAAGCTAAATCAAGAGTAATTCTCATGGACTCTATACCCCCTTCCTATAGCTAGCTCCCCTTAGGTAGATATTAGTATGGACTTTGTGCTTGGACTTCCAAGGACTCAGAGGATTTGACTCTATCTTTGTGGTAGTGGACCATTTTAGAAAAATGTCTTATTTCATACCATGCCACAAAGTGGATGATGCTAGCTATATAGCTAAACTTTTTTTTAAGGAAGTTGTCCGCTTTCATGCTAAGATCCTTAGTCACTTTTGGAAAGTACTATGGGAAAAACTAGTAACAAAGCTCCTCTATTCTACTACTTGTCATCCCCAAACCGATGGTCAAATTGAAGTAGTAAATAGGTTCCTATCCACCTTGTTAAGGGTACTCCT